TCACTATAATTCTATCTAAGTCGCAAATATCATTAGTTATCATCACTTATCTTATCTCCGTCTCCTATCCTGTGCCAGAGCGCCGCTCCCCTCTCACAAGCAGTGCCGGAGAAGCGCTCCGGCTCCACTATAGACAGGGAGACATTTCTGCGAAAAAGGCTCTCTAAATCATGTTTAACGGCGTTTTGTGCAACAAACTGGCAACAGGCGGTTCTAGACTAATTTGCCCCCGCTGAAAACGATGCGCCCTGTTGCCAGACCCGATTTTGGCATTTAAGCCCTTAAATTCAAGATGGCGGCCAAAATGGCCGTTTTTCGGTTATTTCGAGCCCACAAAGGCACGCCACTGAACGTTTTTGGTAGTTTAAGGGTAGAATAACATCTAGTACACACGACGACACCGTTTAGGTACACTTTCGTATTCATATTAGGGGCCTAAATGCCAGAACTCCGCTTAGAAACGTCAAAAAAGCAAAAATTCGTAATTTTTTTTTCTGATCGGTTCTCGGCGTCCAATATGTATTCATATTTTAATATATTTCCCCTCAAATTATGCCGCTAAACCAACTTCTGCCTCTTGGTTCCATAGTTAAAGTTTATAGGAGACGAGTCCCCACTTCCGCAGTTAAGCCCTTCAGTTGTGTAACATCCAGAATGATATTCGCAATTCGCATATTATTGCTAGAGGCCATCGAAATGGGGAATGTGTGGCCAGTGTAGTAAAAATACTGGAAAAAGAACGACTTTTTCACTGTTTTTGGACTTTCCAGGCCCCATCTTGATATTTAGGCCCCAGGCATATGGCGCTGCAGGAGGTCCCCACATACTTAAATGTTAACTTGACCATATGAATACATATTGGACCCCGAAAACCGGCCAGAAAAAAAAGACGAATGTTTGCATTTTTGACATTTTTAAGCGGAGTTTTGGCATTTAGGCCCCTATTATGAATACGAAAGTGTGCCTAAACGGTGTCGTCGTGCGTACTAGATGTTATTCTACCCTTAAACTACCCAAAACTTTCAGTGGCGTGCCTTGGTGAGGCTCAACATAACCGAAAAACGGCCGCCATCGTGGATTTAAGGGCTTAAATGCCAAAATCGGGTCTGGCAACAGGGTGCATCGTTTTCAGCGGGGGCAAATTAGCCGCCTGTTGCCAGTTTGTAGCACAAAACGCCGTTAGACATGCACTTTTCAGAAATGTCTCCCTGACTACTACACCACTACGTATACCTATAGGTTTCGAGAGGTGATATACTTGCACCAACTTAACAAAAGGTTGCCACAAAACCAATACCTACCAACCAAGGGTTAAGTAAAAAAATCGATTAGCAATAGGGTATCACCAAGGTGGCACTTTTATGGGACACATAAAAACAAATCCACACACAAATATATGTCAGGTGGCTTATTTGGACTTTTACCCTCGATGCACAAGTTGAGATTTCAATATCACATATTCGAAATAACTCGCCCTGCTTAGTATTAAAATTCATTATTATCCAATTCAAATAGTCCAAGGAGCATGACGTTAATTACACTTTACAGCAAAACAAAATATTAGTGCAAAGTGAAATTGATACAATGTCAAGTGCAATTATTCAACAATCTTGTGATTACGTTGAGAAATAAATTAATTAAAAAAACAAACTAGGATTTTTATTATGGTTTCTATGGGCGATCATAACAAACAAACTATTATCATTGTCTATTATGGAGAACTTAATACTACGAATCAACAATCTTGATCTTTGATTAATATACTTACATCCAAATTATTGTTTGCAGTCAGAATTAATAAAAGTTGTACAGGATGTAACTGATGATCTTTGGTCTGATGGTTCTATTAAGAGCAAAACGGAAAATTACATGGCTTTGTATGGCAAATTCAATGTTACAACAAAATATTGGAAAACTATTCGGGATAGGGAATAACTGTTTGCAAAGCCATATTTAGAAAACTTATGAAATCTAGAGCATGCCATTCCCATGACAAATTTAATCCTACCAAATCCTATTATTAACTTTTTTTAAGATGCAAAATTAAGTGCAGGAGTTTTTTTATCAGATCAGCTCACTTCATTTGACTAAACAAAAAACCCAAAAAAAATTGCTTGCCTTTTCCAAGACTTTCTCTTAGTTTGTTGTTCTGGAATTCTTGCCACAATTATCATAACAAAATTAGTAACCAAGTTGCCTGCCATAAAAGATCAGAAACGCATTGTTTTTATTATTATCATATCTTCTATAACATTGTTCTTATTCTAAGTGAAGATGATCTTCGTAGCTTCGTTACTATTCCTGCCTATCAGCTAACAATTGTGTCGCGCCTAATCTAGAAGGGTCTTGACTAGGATAATGCACAGTTGGTTTCCCGCTAACGTCCCCGTTACTTGCGGTACTACTACTAGCCGTACTAAGACTACTTGACACTGGTGGAACGAATGCAGATGCTTGCGTTGGCGTAAAAAAGAAAGGAGGCATCGGTGGCGGTGCAAACATGGGAGGTACCATTAATGATGACGGTGGCGGCATGTTAGGTAGCGGTATGTGTCCGGGTTCTAAATTGAAAAAGTTGTTGCTCAACTCTGGAAGAGTTCCTGGAAGGCCGGGTACTGGTTCAAATAGTTCTGCTGTGGGATTGCCAATTGTGGGTCCCTGTCTACCTTGCGAACGACCCCACTTAATTGTTAGTCTTCTACCGCCCAGGATTAATTTATTAAATGTTTTTTCTGCCGCATTTTCTGCTGCTGATCTTGTAGTGTATTGTACGAACGCGCACTGCTGTTTTGGTACCAGACTGATTGAACGTATTTCACCATATTGATAGAAATGATCCCTGAACAAAACATTAAAATACAGCGATAAATGCACGTCATAACACGTACCTTATGTCTTGCTCATTTAACGTTCCCAAATTACCAATATACAAAGTGGTAATAGTTTTATCTTCCGGAGGAGGTAAGGCGGGCATGGCAGCTGCCCGTTTGAGAAGTTTATCCGCTACAGGATCATTGATGCCATAATACCGATCTTTAATGTTCTGATCTGCCAACGGGTCATCCGGATCGGTAGGCTTCTCGTGGCGATAGGGACATTCTTCTCCTCGTCGACATTCACCTTTAACCCAAAAGGAACAGACGTGCGGCCTATTTCTTTTATAATAAGGCGCAGTTCTCGCCAATCGCATCAATAAATCGTTGGGCTCCCCAGTACGCGTACCGATAACAGCACCCGATTCCGCCCTGGCCAACTAAAGAATAATGTAGCGAGACACTTCGACATGTAATAACTTACTTCTCGTTCCATATTTTGGATGTAGTATTCCTTATTGACATCACTTTTAGGTAAATCGTCACGCATCTTCAAAGCAGAATCCCGCACTTGAATTGGCAGACCATACTCCAAGTCTAATAAGCAAGTTTGACACACGTTCTTCAACTTGCTACACGTTTGACATATTTCAGTTTTCTTAAATCTCATTCTCGCACCGGGACACCAACGAAACACTGTAAACGGTCTCGCACAAATTTTACACTCCTTGCCGTATTTTTCCTTTGTCTACAAATCAACTTAATTACAAAAGAAAAGGGGCGCAAAAAGGCGTACAAACCATTCTAATATACGGATTGTCTCCTAAACATGTTTGGCAAAGTATGGGGAAGTCCTAAAAAGTGAGGTTAGTTAATTTAAGTATTTATTACCCATTCTACTTACGGCATCCTCCCAATTTTGTCTGTTGTACGTATTTGTTGTCTTTGACATTGCCATTTTGATATGGATTGTAAATCACCTAAAAATTACAAATAATTCAACAGAAGGGTAAATAAATAGACGTCAAATAAGGCAAATGATTGAGGCCTGCCAACATAATAACTTTAAAATAGGGCAATGAAAATCGGAATGCCAACATCAATTTAACTGTAAACTGACTGTATACACCAGAGGTGGCACCACTTGTTTCATCTAATCTTTAATATAGCGATTTCGCGATAAGTATTTCATATTTTTTCACATATCCAGAGAAATAAGCATGTCTAAACGGCATATTATTGAGCACTTGAAATGTAGAGACTTATACTTCGAGGTTGGAACCTCTTCCTTTTACAAACTACATTGCTATAGGTCTTTTGGACTAGACCAGTGGTTCCCAACCTTTTACTAACAACGAACCCCCTCTTTAGATTTTTTTTCTGGCGAACCCCCAACTTATTCTTGTTCATAATTTAACATTGTCATACTTCCTCTTCTTTGTTTTCATCTCACTATACGCGCATTTCTTTTTACTAGATTGGGGAAGTGCTACCGCTACGTCACTACTATCCTTTTGTGTTACTTCATGATCCGTAACTGATGATGACGCAGAAACGTCATTCGGTACTTTATGTATCTCCTTACTTTGTCTATGGATCCTAATAATACTCCCTGCCTTCAGACACTGTTCGATAGTTTGCCTTTGAAGTGGTTTTCCTAATCACGCATGAAGTCAAGTGAATCTAGCACTGTTGCAGAGTTGAGAAGTGAAAGAAATATATTGTAGCATTTGTAGCGCGTTTTTCATTCGTTTATACTCCCATTGAATGCTGCAATCATGCGCAAACGATTTTAATGGATTTACTCATTAGGGCTATACATGATTGAAATATCGAAATTTAGCTTAAGTAAATTAATTCCGCCGTTTTTTGTTCTGCGAACCCCTTGAAAGCGCGGGCGAACCCCCGGGGGTTCGCGAACCACCGGTTGGGAAACGCTGGACTAGACCCATTGAGGGGGATCTGTTTCTATGCAGCAAGTTCTTCCCTTATGTGAAACATAAAAGTACATTTTTAAATTATCTGAAAAGTGGAGGACACTTCTGCATTTTTGGTTAAAGTTCCTCTCCAAATTGTAATCTAAAAAAAATTAAAAATTCCAAACCCAGTCATATAGTAGTTCGATCTGTGTCTAATCTTAATTTTTTCCTTAAAAATTACACAGGATAATGATCTATGAAGATTTGGTGGAATGTCTAAAAGCTTATAATATAATATAATAATAATAATTGGGCACGTTTGCTTAATAAAATGAGTCTGTGGACTCACCTCAGCTTCCTTGCTTGTGGTATACGCGAACAGGGTCTCTCTTATTCGTTTGATTTTACCTTCAATTGGGAAAAGAATAAATAAAATGATATTCCTCTTAAACCCTTTGATGTTGGGTACTTCTAAAAGTAGGTACCTATCCCACAATTCAATAAATAATTTATTAAAGTTGACTGCAATCTACGTATAAAGATTTTGTACCTTTTTACGATTATCTGAAACACTACGTATGATGTATTATATTTCCAAATCTAAGATAAGCCAAATATACACACAAGCAGGAATAGGTACCTATTTCATACATCTTCAACACCCTCATCATTGCGCTACCACAAAGAATCATGTTGTAAATGATACAGTGTGTAAAGCGATGGGGTATACAAGAGATTTCTATAAATAAATTTTAGATTATCGAAACGTTATTGGTACTTTCAAAGCAAGCAAAAAATATCATGAAGAATAAATTTTTTTCATAAATCAATATTTAAAACAAATTCCTTCTTGTATACCCTATCGCTTTACACACAGTATGATGTTATTTATTTATAATTAAATTAATAAACCTCTTGGTAATTAGGCTATGCTTAGAAAAATCGGCGCATAACTCAAAACACACAAAATTGGCGACGGTACCCAGCAGCTGATAATATTTGCCGCAAGTTCAATGTAATGTAATTATTACTATGCATTGTTTAAATGTAACAAAATAAAGATAAGAACAGGCAATTTTTGCATAAGGCGCTCAAAATTTCAAAAATAAAATCGTAATTGACATCTAACGGTAATTTGTGTCACCATTACATGTAGAAAGCTAATTAGTTGTGTAATACTTTCACAGAGGACGCCACTACATTTATATTCAGCACTCAATTCACTTTATTTACGACAGATGTCCCAACGATGCTTTTTATGATTATATTATAATTTTGAATTAAAAAAAATGGCGGGGGTAAATACACAATGCTTGATTTTATCATTTTTACATGAAAGTTTTGTTGCAACGGAAAAAAAAACTAGGGATCAAAAGCGTGATAAAATCCCGACAGCTTCAGCTGGAGCGATTTTTTTTATCATTGAATAAATTTTTATGCAATGATCTTATGCTTTTGATCGAGAGTTCTTTTCCAGGAGGCAACAAAATTTGAGTGAACTAAAAATAAAGTCATCCTGATTTAAAACCAAGATCGAGTGTATTTTAGGGAGATTAATAAATACAGTAGATTTTACAACCACAAAACAATTCGTACTTTTTCGATTAGACTTCTCAATCAAAAGTTATGGACTAGAAACCAATTTCGAAAGAAAATTCAAAGGGCTGTAACTTTTGAACTAGTAGCCCAATCTTGAAACTGTTTGAAATTATGGATTCTACAGGCCACATTCTATAAGAAAATTTTTTTTCCGGGTCGATCTGAGACAATTTTTTTTTCGGGGCTCAAAAAAAGGCAGTGTATAACCTTCCTTTTTTACCAAAAATCGACTGCACCAAAATTTCTCGGGAAAACACTTTTTCTTATTAATTTTGGTGCGTAGAATCCAAAACAATTCGTACTTTTTCGATCAGACTTCTCAATCAAAAGTTATAGACTAGAAACCAATTTCGAAAGAAAATTCAAAGGGCTGTAACTTTTGAACTAGTAGCCCAATCTTGGAACTGTTTGAAATTATGGATTCTACAGGCCACATTCTATAAGAAAATTTTTTTCCCGGGTCGATCTGAGACAATTTTTTTTTCGGGGCTCAAAAAAAGGCAGTGTATAACCTTCCTTTTTTACCAAAAATCGACTACACCAAAATTTCTCGGGAAAACACTTTTTCTTTTTAATTTGGGTGCGTAGAATCCAAATCAATTCGTACTTTTTCGATCAGACTTCTCAATCAAAAGTTATAGACTAGAAACAAATTTCGAAAGAAAATTCAAAGGGCTGTAACTTTTGAACTAGTAGCCCAATCTTGGAACTGTTTGAAATTATGGATTCTACAGGCACCATTCTATAAGAAAATTTTTTTTCCGGGTCGATCTGAGACAATTTTCTTTTCGGGGCTCAAAAAAAGGCAGTGTATAACCTTCCTTTTTTACCAAAAATCTACTGCACCAAAATTTCTCGGGAAAACACTTTTTCTTATTAATTTTGGTGCGTAGAATCCAAAACAATTCGTACTTTTTCGATCAGACTTCTCAATCAAAAGTTATACTAGAAACCAATTTCGAAAGAAAATTCAAAGGGCTGTAACTTTTGAACTAGTAGCCCAATCTTGGAACTGTTTGAAATTATGGATTCTACAGGCCACATTCTATAAGAAATTTTATTTTTAAATTTTTAATATATTTGAGTGACAAGTATTTGAATACTTTTTACTGTATTCGAATACTTTTTATAGTATTCGAATACCTTTGATAGTATTAGAATACTTTTGAAAGTATTCGAATACATTCTAAAGTATTTGAATACTTATTTTTTTAAAGTATTTGAATACTTTTCAATGTATCTGTATCTAGTATTCGCTTGTGCTGGACGTAAAAGTATTTAGTATTCAAATACTTTTTTAAAGTATTCTGCCCAGCTCTGCAAGGCATACGCCTCTAAGAAGCAATTTTTATATACCTAATTTTGTTCTTGCAGTGTATGTCACAACTGATATTTCTTGTAGGTAATAAAGACATTTCTATGCATTTCGATTCAGTGTTTGCACAACCTACCTACCTAAGAAAGTAGAAAATCAATAAGCTAAATACAGATAAACGCCGGAAACACCAATAATAGGTAGGTTACTACAATTAGTTAAATGGTTTGTCACATACAATGAATTTTTACATCATTTAGGGGTTGAGCTTATCTCGTGCATCCCATTGCAAGTCAGTGAGGTATGAATTTTTCGTTCGATGTACCTAATACCTTTTCTATGCATTTTTCAGTATTTTGAGGGTAATTTCACCCTGTGAATCCCATGGTACGTCGATTAAATTCGCATTACCATTTCGAGTTGAAGGAAACAATTTAATTCAATTCTTTGCTATGAATTGTTGAGTGCTTTAATTGTGGATTTCATCCCCTGAATCCCATTTCAAGCGGACAAGTAGATCTCACATTGTCAGTAAGAATTTTTTTAAATAAGTATGAATGTGATCTTCTGTTTTGAGGCGGTATCTTTATGGTTTCTGCTATTTTCAGAGAAGCCCGTGAAACAATTTAATCTGTTTTGTTCTTTCATTTTATTAAGGATCCTCAGATCCTTTATACTTTTGTATTGTTGTCCGTCCGTCCGTCCGTGTGCGCTATAACTCTTTTTAAATGTGGTCGATTGTTTCAAAATTTGGTGCGCGGGTACTTTAGATATTATGAACGGACACTATTGATTTTCAGGGAGCTGTTCCAACAGGAACAAAAGTTATAGTACTTCGAGTGAATCGGGAACAGGAGAAATTTCGGGCTCAATATAATAGAAATCAATATAGGTTCTTCATTCCATAGGTCATGTATCGTGTTCGGACATTCACTGGATTGTTCCCTACTTAGATGTTTAACAATTCAATATTATTATTATTATTATTCATGTACCAAGATCGTTGGGAAAAAATTAAGTGCCCATGACATGAATTTGATACATCTTTGTTGACTTGTAAGGTTAAAATAAATGGTCGATAAAAAAAGATGGTAATACTGAGGATCCTTCGATATTTCGTTGTATCGGTTTATTTTTGTTGTTTTTATTTTGACTTAATAAATAGGGCGGGTTTTAAAGAAATGGAAGTCCTTTTTATTTAAAAAAAACGTTTTATTCTTGAAAATTGAATCATGCTGTTTTTAAATAAAATGAACTTCTCGAATATGGAAAAGATGAATTGAATGCCAATTTTATAATTACCTACAGGTGTAGCGTTCGGCCGAAACGCGTTGACTAATCTGCAGGTGTTCCTTATCTTTTATAACAATGCCATTTATTCACAAATCAATTCGTCGGCGAATGTATGTGCGTGTATCTAAGTAGTAGTGTTTCGTTGATCGTGATTGTGGGTGTTAGTGCGTGGTATAAACTCAACTGGTTTATCGAAGGGATTATTAGAGAAGGTAAGGGAATTTTGCATCACCCCTAAAAATTAAAAGCCAAAATAAGTCTTTTTTTTATTTCGGCATCCTTATGTGTAAGATATAGAAAGTCGTGTAGTCTATTTTGTTTCCCTTAGTTTTCTTTATATTGGGAATTACAATGATATCTAAAATGCAACTTGGTCCAAGTTATTAAGTAAATTTTGATCAAAATTGCATTATTTTCTAATTTTTACTTTGTTCCAGAAATTGCAAGCAGCAGATTTAAAGGTAAGGGTTTTCCTCTTCCACATCGTATTATACATATTCAATTTAAATGTACCGCATCAAATTCCGAAAATGACACTTTATACCACTTAATATTTGGGAGAAGTGGGTATGTGTACCTTGATCAATTTAACTCTAAATTTAGTGTTGTAGTTCTAATTGTGTTTTATTTCCTAAGAATCATCTTAACTGGGTTTTTAGAAACCGAGAAAATATAAGAATCCATATAAGTAACTTATCCCTACAGGGTACAAAAGGCTTTTACATCCCGAAACAAAATGAAAGACCCTCTTTCCTTGTCTAAGATCTTACCTAATAAGTATTTGTAAAAACTGTCCAACAAAATTGGATAGTATTGCGAAATTCTTGTTTTTTCTAATGCAACCGGCTTTTTTCTGTTCATAAATAGATTCCACACTGAAAAATAAGGGTAGCTTGTAATTGCTCATATTACTTTTCACATTCTTCATAGTTCGCTATGGAATTGATGTAATTTTCGATATCCAGAATGGCGATCCTTTTAAATTGCATTTTAATTGAAATATCGTATTAAAATCGTCGATGTGTCTTTGAAATTGAATAATGTACACATTTAATGTGTCATTAGATAGAAAGTAAAAAAAATCGTCGACGAAAGTTTGTAAGGTAGAGAGGTGACGTAGCACAGCAACCGAAGTTTAAGCTGTGTCCTTGTGTGGTGTTAAAGGGTAAACGATGCCATCAATATTTAAATATTTCACGAAAATAATCCTCTGAATTTTTCTTATTAGAAAGTCAAAGAAACCCGCAAAAGTTTCTAAAGTAGGTGAGGTGAGCGTGATGTAGCGCAACCATCGAAGCCGAAGTTATGCCCTCGTATTGCATAAAGAAGGAAACGAAGCAGTATGAGAGAGTAAGTAGTAGACACTTCTGTCGGCACTCATCAAATGCCACTTTTTTAAAAAATATTCAGCACTTACCACTTGATACCATGATTCACATGCTGAAACTAGGTACACGTTCTAAGAGATTGACTCAAAATTAACTAAACTATTGCGTCGCTGATCTTCACAATCATGAAAGTATACTTTTCCCGTAGTTTTCCCTCGACTTTTTCTTAAACGTTATAAATCATAATCATAATGTGTAGGTACATAAACAAATGTTCTTTTTAACAGCTATATCTATTGACAATATTAAGTTCAAATTTCATTTTGTCTTCAGGGTTTAATAAGAAACGTACAAGTTCATTTGTTTTATTTTAATGTAGAGGATGGATTAATGTTATTGATCTAATTACAACAAATTTTTTTTAAAAATTCAATTGTTTTACTCATTTGTTTTCTGAAATATAAACAACTGAATGCTGCCTTATTATGGGAAATAAAATGTTAAACATCTTTCATATAGAAAAATGATGTAAGTTTTTGATATTTACCGAGATGATATATATTATATTCCATAAATAATTGGCACCCTGTACAGGAGCCTTAATTAGAAGTTTAATTAGAACGCAACGAGACTTATAGCAAGATTATTGGCATTACTACGAGTACAGTCCGTTACTTTATTCAATATACCATAAATGTTGTTGATCTAATGTTGGTACTCAGTTCGGCCCAGCTAATTATACCGACAAAGGATCCATTCTATGACTCGGCGAAGTATTTCTGGTCAAGGTACATGTAATGTACATTGGTCCTTGGCTGTGTGAATAATCTTGCACCCGTCATCGTTCATTTACTTACTAGTACAAACGTGGATTTAATTGCATAAAATGTAGTAATTATATATCAATACAGCATTATGGAAACTGACTTCCATATAACTTCTGACTATTTTTGCCATTTGCTTCATGGTGGGTACCGATGTACCCTATTTGCAGAAAATGCTTGATTTCTCAAGATTTTTTGATTTGCACATTATTTTAGTCGCTAACGTTTTAACCATACTCAAAGTACTCAACTCACATTCAATCATTCAATTTTACGTTCTAGCATATTATTTTTTCTACCTATTGCGAAAGAGAACGAGAGGAATCTTGCGCGTGATATAAAAATTCAAACGGTTTCCCAAAAAAGGCGATCTTACGTTAGCGTATACGAGTATACCAAATTTATCTTATCATTAGTATGAGTACGCCTGTACTAAACTTGTTGTTGAAATAGATAAGGTATGTATGACCTTAATCCGGTTTGTAGATTTAAGTACATTCAATGTCGCAATTCCAATTGACTAATGTATTTATTAAAATATCCGTCACTCACTTAGTCGAAGTCTACTACACTCAATTGCTTCAAACTTTGGAGAATAGTCTCGATGACGTTGACGATGTATCACATATTAAGGAAAGCGGAGGGGGAGGGGGCAAATCTCGGGGCAAATGTTCTTCAATGCTTTTACAGAGGATCCTCATTGAGAAGAACATGAAAATGTCGAATTTTTACGTGATTGAGTATCCATCCCCAACCCCGCATGTTTCGATGTTTAATATTTGGAATCTTCGGTTCAAAAATATTGGCTTTTCAAGTGAGATTTTATATCATGTCAGTAAGGCCCCTTAATTTTGTGAGAGCCGTTTATTCAGGCGAAATGCAGGTAAGGGCAAAAACCTGACATTTTGATCTATACACATGTGGTACAACGATACCAGGGCTAATACCTACTGTAGAATGAACATAGTGTTTTTTTCTCTTACAATATATAAGGGGTGGAATTTTACTGAAATCGCTCTATACTCTTTTCACAAAATTTGTGGTCTTCGATTACGTATCTAGCTGTAGTAGGTAAAGCTACATATACGCATTTAAAAATCACCGGAGATCTGTTCGCACAATTACACGTGAGGCATTCGAGGAATTTTGTCAGTGACCATACTTTAATGAATGACATATAAACATCAATAAATAATAAACAAACTTATTATTGCACTTCTAGAAAGATGCCCAACGCCCGTTCATTATTTCCGATAAGTCCTCCCCACTAAGTGACATCTAAGGTCATCAATCTAAAACTTACATATAAGATATGTTACCCGAAATGTAAATCACAGCAAATTGTAAGCAAGGGTAACGATGTCGGGTTACTTGCTTTTCTTTTTCGCCGCTTTGACTTTGAGTTCGGTAGTTGTTGCGGAAGTGGCCAGGTTTGGCAATTGTGGTAAGTGCTTCAATGAGTTAATGGTTGTCACATTTTATCGAGGTAATTTTGTTTAGCGTCAAATAAAGATAAATGCACCGTGCACGAGGTCCGGATAAACCCATGCAAGGAGGCCTCAACAAACAAACCATGTAAAGTTAGAAGAGGACGCCCTGGATCCCTCGAGATTGATTACACCCCACGTAAGAATATTTGACGATCACGTTTCGTCCTTTGCAAAACGTCCTGTTGCAGATTTTGATTCGCAAAATTTGACTGCTAACGGCGTGTGTATGGGGCAGCTATTTCCTAATATGGAAACCGATGCGTGCTTAACGACAACGTGTCCGGTTACCGCTGGTAACAGACAGACGTACACATTTAATATCTTCGTTGACAGAAAATTTCCAAGTGGAATCTTTGACGTAGATTGGTCGTTGATTGGAGCAACAGAGGAAGACCAATGTTGTATTTCCGTGAAAATATTCTTGAAATAGTGGTAGATTATTAAAATAGCGTCGCAATTTAATAAATACAAACAATGTAAATACGTGGAAAATACGTTTGTATCACAACGTCCGTGTCACCAGACTAGAAGACAAGCAGACAAAATCTACTGAACGATAAATTATTTGTTTATTACTAATAAATATTGCCAAATGTATAACTGATTCGCTTATTTCCATCAGTGTACTTTTACAGAAAAATGTATGGCTTTTGACCACGCTGTCACGTTTTGCAATGATTATATCATTAACGTGTCAGTATTTGCTCAACCACAGCTTAAATGGACTTTGGGATCGTTAACCAGTGTGTGTTAAGATATTCAGAAATAGCAGTCCTATACTGATTAAGAAAGATAATAGAAGTAAATTAAATTACTGGAATGGAAATATTTCGGAATCGTTTGGGTAACCTAATTAATGTTAGTTGTTAGAGTAAATCGACCCCTAAACCCAAATATTTCGAGCGCACGCACATTAGTTGAACTAAGGTATATCTAGATAAATAATGTCGGGCAAAGGGTGTTACAATATTTGTAGAAAACGTCGTAATCTAAAAGGTTGCTCATCTTAGAACTTTTACATCACAAATTTGGGACAAACTACTAACTACATTCAAATAGTGTATAAATTCATACGGCATCTGTACAAAAGGTGCTAACAATTTTACTTTAGAGCTGAGAATCCAGAATCTGGTACTTCTATAGTCGTTTTCTTAGGAAATAGAGAAATATCAAATAAAATATGGGATTGCACACACAATGAAAAAATCTATGAACCTGTTATCTAGTGTTAAAGCATTCATCTTGACTTTTGACAATCATTACATGAGAGTTTTTTGTACTTTATCGCGTACTTACAGTGTAGTATTCAGTTCAAACTGAGTTGTGTATGACTAATTTGTTGGGGTAGGCGCAGTTCCTTAAGGAATTAGTTATGAAATGACCAGTTTTAAATAGTATATTAAGAAACAAGTATATAATCATGTATTTAAAGTACGCGCAACGTTGCAAGTTGCTTTAAAGACCAATTATACACGCTTTTTTTTATGTATTTTTTTGTTATACCTGCAGTATACACAAATGCTGATCAATGATTGTAGGAAGATTCACCTGAGAAACTCGGCTCCAGGTAAATCCTCTTCTCGAAGATTCACCTGGGAAAATTCGGACCTGAACATTTGCCCAAGCATAATAATTATTAAATTATTAAGAAAATTTCAAAAATGATGTGCTTTATTCAAAATAAAGTACAAAATCATAATGTGCGGTCTCATATCATTTTAATCTCTCTCTCTATCGCAAAGTTCCAAAATACAAAGTCTCTAATAAGTAAAAAAAATAAGATGCATGTCATTCAGCCATCAAATTGCGGTCTGTGGGGCGGCTGAAAGCTCACCAATCGCACCGATCAATGTACTAACTGTATTTAATCACTATACTGTATTCATTTTAAGAAGGTAGCGGTAGAAAGCATAGGGAAGCTTTGACCTTCATTGTGATTGGTTAAAACACGAGTCAGTATTACAATGAAACACAAAACGACTGGTGAATTTTTTAAGGTAGTAGTTTATGTTGCCAACTAAATTGCCGAAATGTCATTAGCCGTTATTGTCAAAGATTTATTTCTGTTCGCAGTACTGAATATTTCTACTTTACAATAATTTGGTGCCGTTTTTTCCTGTGTGTGTTTATCTTTAACCACAGCGCCATCTACTACCTTCTTATAATGAATGCAGTATAGGTAATAACTTTTTAAAGCAAGCTTTCAAATTAATTAAAATTACACGCATGACCTGAAATTTCCAGGGCCTTCTCTCAATCAAAATGTTGTTGCCCATACCTTATTCAATAAATATAATAGCCTAAGGGATATTTCCCATTTTCAAATCCTTTCCAAAATCTTTTTAGCTTTCATGACTATAATTAGAGGGAACATTGGTAGGTACAAAATGTCAGCCAGATCGGTCTGATCCCTACAAGTTTATACGTAATTCAATAAATGTCGATTCAACCGAAATTAAAATTACGTTAAAACATAAGTACATGAAATTACTGATAGGTTAACCCAAAAATGTACGCTACCGAGTTCGATTTCTGCAATATAACTTCCACCTTTTGTAAAATAATCGCATTCTATAAATTAATAGAATGTTGATAAAAACTTGCAAAGTGTGTCTATAATTCCAATTTTATTTACGTTCAGCTTCAGTAGATGACGTTTTTTTAAATTCTCCCAAACTTCCAATTTATTTTTTAAAGTAATTTAGAAATTCGCTAAGCGGATAATAAATACATCTGCATTATGCAGATTTAACTTGCAGTATGAAATAACATTTCACGTTCTTTGTAAAATGTTTAATCCAGAAATTAATAAATATTTATTAGCTTGCTAGACATTTAAAATTAAAAAATTCGATGCAGGGGGGTTTAAACGAAGTGCCGCTTCAATTTCGAATGTAGGTATATGTGAATATGTCGTGCAAGTGAAGTTAAAAGCACTGGTTTTGAATGCCTTATTTTACTAAACGTTTTTCCAGCACATTTTAATGCCTTTCCGATTTTTTTTAGATTTTGTAAAGCTTTAGGCGCTGGAGGAGTTCATGTCCTTTAGAGAGCTTTTGATGCGTTTCAGATATACCTATTTCTAGATCCGTTTGCCGCGTCTCCGAACTTCCGAGATGTTTATAGACTGAAAAAATTAGTTTCGATAATGGCTCCATCATAAAACTATGCAGAATGAAGCAAAGAATTTATTTCGTGACGAACGGTTACAAATTAATGGGTTGTTCGGAAAGATATCAATTTGTAATAGTATCTTGCAAAGTGTTCGTGGTGTAAATTTCTTCTTATAATTTCTTTTTATGTTGAAGTAGTTTTGGAACTTACCTCTTTGTACTTTTACTTCCAGCGAACTCAGGCAAAATAGTTTAAAGAGGAAAAAATTTAGTATTTCACTGATTCAGTGTCAATAATTTGTAATCACAATTAGGAAAAATAAAACGTTTTGGAGAGTTTATGTAATTCGCATTAAGCCTCTTTTTGATCCAAAAACTCTTTTTACTCCTTCACTAAAAAACTTATAAGTGGGAGACAAATTCCACAATATTATCAATATGAATACAACTATTGATTTAAACATTGAAATAAAGCAATTTATTATTACCACGCTAAAAAGAAAAAAGAAACCTCATTCCTACTAAATCATACAAAAATACCCCTATAGCAAATTAACCCTATCCAAGCAATGCAATGATTCTGTGTATATAAGCAAATTCCAAAATTAAAAGTTTATAGAGAAAGATGACGCACGAATATAAACGCGTTAAAATCTTCGTATGCAGAACGTAAAGAAAAATAATAGGTAGGTACCTTTATTACTGTTACTGCCGGACTGATTCGTCCTTGACTATCTTTTTGGTCCAAATATCTCCACAAATACAAATTCCAGCTGGTTAATAATACGTCGCTGGTGTGTGCAAAAAACGCGGGATTATCAAATTGTTCATTTGTCACTGGGCGGTTTTATGATGTTGACGATGAAGACGAAGCCAGTCTTCTTTATTACAGCATTGATCTTTTTCGGCGAAGAATTTTGGCATTAAACTTTTCTGGTATCTCTCATTTTTATAATATATTTTTATTTAACCTTTAAGCTACACTGTCAAATTCAAATTCTACCCTACTGTAAAAAGCAAAGAGAAACCAATTTTTAGAAACGGTTACATATGATGAGAACCGGGAACGTGATTTTTTGGAATAGTCATTTTTCATATAACATACTCATCGGTAACGGAAAAAATCGCTTTTAACCTTTATACGGGCTTCTCTTCGGTAGCAGTAGTCTAATTCTACCTATTTTCGTTACACATTTTTGAGTAAACACTGTGATTATGGTCTGACACATAAATAGGTATACGTATTGATCAATGATCTATGACTATATGTGCTACATTTTTTCAATGTCTATCCGCATTGTATGTCTCACTTGATTCATTGAGACATCACAGATTAGCGCCTAAAATTAAATTGTTATTGTGTAGATTAGTGGTAACAATAGAGTACTTAAATTTGTCGAGATCGCAGAGAAAGTGGAATGTTTTCCTAATCTTACCTTGATTGGAGAACCTTGGATTGAGAATGCTGAAAAAGCTTGAGTAAGATCGTGGAACTTCACGACAAAATGGTTGAAAGTTTTGAATTTACTTCAAAATTAAAACAGTTTGTAGGTAGTAGCTGCAAAATATAACAAGTTAGAATTAGTAATCACAAAAAGCGTTTTTCCACATTAACGGTCTAATTATCTGGGGCATGGCTTCGGATTGTCAGCGAATCTTGCTCCTACAGAAACAAATTTTAAGAAGAATATCATTCGCTAGTAGTATTGAGCATTGCAAACCGTTATTTATTAGACATAAAATTATGACAGTTTTTTCGGCATTCATATACAAGTGTATACTGCACACTTATACAAATTTACATACGTTTAAGAAAAATTCGCATTTCAATAAAGGTATGTCAACAAGGTACGCTGAAAAACTCAGCACACCATGTCATCGCACTGCTCATTTTGAAAAAAACCCTATATACATATGTACCCAAATATTTAATCACATACCGGATAGCTTGAGATTGAAGAAAAACGAAGATATGAACTTATACAAAAAAAGATTAAAATCATACTTTCACGCATTGCCTTTATATTCATTTAACGAGTTCTTCAACCTTAAGCTTTCCGTTTAAGCTTTCTAATTAAATATTTAAAAAAAATGTACAATTAGTTATTAGTTAAGCTAGAATGTAGATCAAACATTGACATGTTCTATAATGGGAAACCATTCAAAAGAATAAAGATGGATTATTATTATTGTCGGTGTTTCTTGTGAGAACTCAGGTCTAGCCTGGTTAACTAATCGCACGGATTAAAATCAAGTAACGATTAGTGTCTGTGTCTGTGTCTGGTGAAGTTATGTAGGGTTCTAAAGAAAAATAAAAATAAAATAAATATTCACACACTCACATTGGAAATACGTTAAACGATAAAGTGATCACTCTAAGGACAAGGGTAGTAAAGTGAAGTGATAAAGTGAAACAAATCATTGTGCATTCTAAGGACATCTGCCATTCTTGTTAAAAATGGAACTCGGCGCACGAAATAAAATGAA